AGGTTTTTAAGATTATAAAAAATATATATATGGGTTGGGAAAGTGGCTCAGTAGTAGAGTGCTTGCCTCGCATGCATGAAGCCCTGGGTTTGATTTCTTAGCACCACATAAGCAGAAAAAGCCAGAAGAGGTGCTGTGGCTCGAGTGGTAGAGCACTAGCCTTGAGCTGAAGAGCTGAGGGACAGTGCCCAGGCTCAGAGTTCACACCCTATGACCGACCAAAAAAAAAATGTATATGAGCTGGGTGCCGGTGGCTTCATGCCTGTAATCCTAGATACTCAGGAAGCTGAGATCTGAGGATTGTGGTTCAAAGCTAACCCAGGCAGGAAAGTACATGAGACTCCTATTTTCAATTAATCACAAGAAATAGCACTGTGGCTCGAGTGGTAGAGTGCTAGCCTTGAGCTGAAGAGTTGAGGGACAGTGCCCAGGCCCAGAGTTCAAGCCCTATGACCAACAAAAACAAAAAATGTATTTGATACACATTTTAAATAAAGGATATAAAATTTGAACGATTGTATTTATTGCCTGGTCTTCTGCTTTAAGCAGAGGAAAAATAACAAATATACCCAAATCAAACATTTGGGTGTTACTGTGTATTGTCTTATGAGTCATTTTATTTATTTATTTTTTTCATCTTTATGTATTATCTGAGTATCTTTCAATAAGAATCTACAATATTTTTCTAATCAACACTATTCTCATTCTAAAGATAACCACAATTCACAATATGGTCTCTATTACCAGGCCCCCACCTTTTTTATACATCTTTGAACAAAACAGGCATATTTTCTATCAATGAGGCTATTCTGTGAAAACTGGTCTATAACAAATCATATGACTTTCACAATAAGAAAAGATTATTTCCTCTGCCATTTTCCTGGTTTAGAATGCCTCTCAATTTTGTTGGTGCCCTTTGCTTTGCTTCTTTCTCTAAATTTTGGAAGGATTCCAGAAATGTATTAGAGTAAGCTAAGTATGCTGCCTTCAGGCCCACACTGGTGAATTCACACCTCTAGGTGGGATGATGGACACATACTTTAATTCACTCAACTAATTCTAACTCAAAGTTTCTTAGTATTCTCAAAGCTATCATCATACAAGTGCAGCAAGAATAGAAAGATAGCTACTAGTGAGTTATGCAACTCTCAATACTAACAAGACCCTTCTAGAATCTGTGGTTCACCTTCCTTGATTAGATGATATGATAGGAAGACTATACAGGTCAATGACTCACCCAAGGACATACAAAATGATGCAAAGTCAAAGACCCCCACATTCAGTCCTCTACTGAACTCCTTTACATATATTTTCCTATTCTTGCTTCCAGAGATGCACAAAAGTGATTGCCAGACCCTGCTTGCATCCATTCCTGCTCCTCTCTGCTCCCCACTCTCTAAAAGGCTTTGGGTCTTAAACTAGTGAGTTACCCAACGTACCACAGCAGTCACTGCACATTATCAGCACAGGCAAGCAACTTGCCCTTCCCATCCCCAGCCCCTGTGTAGTAGGACATGGGTGGAAGGAGTAATATATGCAGGTATCAAAAAAAGGGCCAGCAGGTCAAATCAAGAAGAAAGGCAAGAGAGAAGTAAGGAGAAAGGATTCTCCATTTTCTCTTACTGTAACATGTATTTACATGGGTTGCATATTCCCTTTGAAAATCTCTTCAGCAGATTAAACTGACGTGTTGGGTATCAATGCTTTCTATACTAATTACACACAGACATTCATTTCTGCTATGCAAATTTGATGACTATGCTGTCGAAAAGCAAAAGATAAAAGGTGGGGGATGGGAGATAATCCATAATTCATTAATCTATGATAGGGCCATAATTCATATTCAATTTACTTCAGAAATTGCTCTCACACTGAGTTACATAATTAACATTCTTGGCAAAGAGACAACTCTTCCTCCTGTGATGGATTCATTACCATGCAAAGTCTTCATGAAGAGCATTTGTGTTCTGAGTGTTGATGACCAACTTCAGCATTACCAAAGCCAATTATTAAAAGTAGGTCACTGTTCTGGGGACTGTATGGGACCCATTGATGTAACAACACAGATTGTTATTTGATAGTAACTGTACGTGTGCTCTGAAACTCCAATTATGGCTTCTTCTTCCAGCAAAACTTCTAAAACATATACCTGGAGGTAAGATTACTCGTTTGGAAAAGAATTCCAAGAGTCTGTCTTCAAGTAGATGACTGAGAGGTTTGGATACATCCAAATCCCCAATCTAGACCTATTACAAAGGAGGAGGAAGAGAAAGAGGAGGAGGAGGAGGAGGAGGAGGAGGAGGAGGAGGGAGAAAGGAGAAAGGAGAAGAAGGAGGAGGAGGAAGAAAGAAGAAGACACAGACACTATTGCTTTCACCAAAGGACTAGAACTTGACCATGACATAAGTGAATAGCTAATCAACTATATTCTTCATGATTTGTATCAAATACTGTGTGAGTAGTAGCCATAAGACCAGTAGCAGAGCATCATCCAGAGAAGTCAGAGATGTTGGATGTGGCTGATATACATGCTCTGTTCCACAGCAGGGTGGCAGAGAGTTATCAGAACTGACCGTGGCCTGGATGGAACAGTACCGGAGGCTATTTTGCATTTTGCACATAACCTTAAGGTTCCACTCCTTTTCCTGATGAAAACACACCCTAAGTTATGAAATGGCCCCTGGAATGGATGACCTGCACTTATCCTCATCTGGAGTCTGCCCGTTTGAAGTTGGTTCACCATGAGTCCATCTTAAATACAAATGTGGCTCAAGGGCAGACCTCCAGTGTCCCACAGACAGTTGCTTAGAAAAGAGCCCTCACCCACCTCCAGTGACACCAATCACCTTTTGAAACACAGGGCTGCTATTTCTTCTCTCCAAAAAGTATTTAAAAATTATTTTTTTTGTCAGTTGTGGGGCTTGAACTCTGGGCCTGGGCACTGTCCCTCAGCTCTTCAGCTCAAGCCTAGCGCTCTACCACTTGAGCCACAGTGCCCACTTCGGGCTTTTTCTGTTTATGTGGTGCTGAGGAATCGAACCCAAGGCTTCATGCATGTGAGGCAAACACTCTACTACTGAGCCACCTTCCCAGCCCTACACTTTGAATTTTTATTTTGGATACTAAAAAATCAAGGTGTAATAATACCTTGTCAAGGTTGGTTTCAAGTTTCTCTAAAATAATGAAAGGTTATAGAAAGTCTGTGGGTATTCTTTGCCCACACCCCATTTTTTATGTTTCAAGGTTACTCTTATTGTCCCATTTTTAGTGTCTCAGGCTAACATTGCATACAGTGCAACTGACAGTAGTTGGTGTGTATGTATGGTACTGAGATTAGAACTCAGGGCCTTGTAATTGCTAGGCAATTACAAAGTAGCCCACATGGTAGAGCTATGTTATTCTCAACATTTTATTTATTTATTTATTTTGGAGAGGTCATACATTTTTTTAGCCTAGCCAGCCTCAGTTCATGATCCTCTTACCTATAGCTCCATCTCCAGTGTAGCTAATATTATAGATGAAGGTTACCACACCCTGCCTGTAAAGCTTTGAACTTTACCCTGGAAAGTTTCCAATTCATTGTTTACTTTGGCAAATGATCAAAGATTAAACTAAAATGGATTTGGGGGAAGACTTTTAAAAGTAAATTACAATTTTGTGTGTATGTGTGTGCCAGTCCTGGGGCTTGAACTTAGGGCCTGGGCACTGCCCCTGATCTATTTTGCTCAAGGCTAGAGTACCACCACTTAAGCCACCGCTCTAGTTATGGCTGATGGTTAACTGGAGTTCAGAATCCCAGACATGGAACTGGGAAGGTAGCTCAGTGGTAGAGCGCTTGCCTTGCATGCATGAAGCCCTGGGTTCAGTTCCTCAGAAACACATAAGCAGAAAAAAGCTGGAGGTGGCGCTGTGGCTCAAGTAGTAGAGTTCTAGCCTTGAGCTAAAAAGCTGAGGGGCAGTGCCTAGGCACGGAGTTCAGGCCCCACAACCGACCAAAAAAAAAAAGAATCCCAGACTTTCCTGTTCAGGATGGCTTTGAATCTTGATCCTAAGATATCAACCACCTGAACAGCTGAACAGCTAAGCTTACAAGCATAAGCCATGGGCACCTATATTTCCATTATGAAAAATGCCATCTTCCTCTTCATGACAGTCTACTTAAGATTCCACTTTTTTGGAAGCAGCTTCCATCTGCAAATAACTGAAGGTATCTGACAATTAACTTATCTTTAAGATTATGCTTTTAATCCATTAAAGAGAGATAAAGTTATCCGTGTGAGTCATCAGTAGTGGTCATTCGAAGTGTCATCTTTATTAAAATTAGGTAGCATTTCTTTCCCACAGAAGCAAGAAGCAACTTCCAGTTATTCTAGTGATAACTATCTGTGGTTGCCTGATAGGCCAAGCAGCAAAAAGAAAGCTGAATAAAACAGAATAAAAGGGGCTGGGAAGGTGGCTCAGTGGTAGAGCACTTGCCTTGCATGCTCGAGGCCCTGGGTTCGATTCCTCAGCACCACATAAGAAAAAAGCCGGAAGTGGCGCTGTGGCTCAAGTGGTAGAGTGCTAGCCTTGAGCTGAAGAGCTGAGGGACAGCGCCCAGGCCCAGAGTTCAGGCCCCACGACCCGATTCAAAAAAAAAAAAAAAAACAACAGAATAAAGGTAGTACAATCTTAAAGAGAATTGGTTTCAGATGAATGAAAAACTAGGATCTTAAATATACAAACTGAAAAATATTACCTACTACAGATTATCTAACCCTTAGAAATAAACAATGGAGTAAACAATAAGGGGGAAAGTATTGAAGAAAATATTTTTAATATTTTTTTTAAAGAACTCATTTCCCCAAAAGATTCTGTTGATAGTCATCTGTTATTAATCTATGTCTTATAAAAGAGAACAGTCATTCCTTCATCCCAAATTATCTGAAGCGGAAGTAAAGAGTAAGGAAAGCAAACAGCCAATAAAATGCATAATGAACTTTGTAAAAGCTGAGCCATACCTTGTATTTCGAAGACAACATCAGCAAGCATTGGTTTATTAAGGAAAAACTTCAGGGAAGTGTTATAAAACCACAAAGGTTTCCTGGCTTGGTAGGTTTTACAGTTCCTTAGGCAATTGATCTGTAAGCAAAATAAATAAAATAAATATAACTAAAAAAGGAAAAGGCTTCTCAGTGTACTTTGATAACATATATATGGTGGTCTGAGAACTAGAAAACTGAATAAAGAAACAATGATGACCTACTGAAGGACGTCGTGATCACAGCACTACAGCTGCTGCCTGAGCAACACAGGACTCAGCCATCACAGCAGTGCAGGCGCTGACTGCATGGAAACTCGACTCTATAGCCAAGAAACAACAGGATCCTGACTTCCTGAGAGTCATGGACAGGAAATGAGGCAGTAGTTCAAACTGATATGAAGACCCAGTGAAATATATTTCCACATACAGTCTAATTTGGTCATTAAGAACGTACACAGAGCCAAATACTAGTGGCTCATGCTTGTAATCCTAGCTACTGAGTAGGCTGAGATCAGAGGATTGTGGTTCAAAGCCAGCCTGGGGTGGAAAGTCCATGAGATTCTTATCTCCAATTAACCACCAGAAAACCTGAAGTGGTGCTGTGGCTCAAAGTGGTAGAGTGTTAGTCTTGAGCTGAAGAGCTGAGGGACAGCGCCCAGGCCCAGAATTCAAGCCTCACAATCAACAAAGAAAAGCAAGAAAGAAGGTATACAGACGGCTAGATGTGTTAGTACAAACCAGTAATCTAGAACTCACAGAAAGGAAGCAGGAGGATTGCAAAGTCAAGGCCAGCCTGAGCTACATAGTGGAATCCAATCTCAAAAAAAAAAAAGAGGAGGAGGAGGAGGGGTAAAGGAGAGAAGAGAGAGAGAAAAGGAAAAAAGGTAAAACAAGAGGAGGAAGTATATAAAAAATTCAATTTGAGGCTGGGTGATGGTTGCTTATGCCTAGAGTCCTAGCTACTCAGGAGACTGAGATCTGAGTATTGTGGCTTGAAACCAAGCTAGGCAGTAAAGTCCATGAGCTTCATCACCAATAACCACCAAAAAGCTGCAAGTGGAGCTCTGGCTCAATTAATATAGTGCTAGTCTTGAGGTGAAAAAAATAAGAAAGCTCAAGGATAGTGTCAAGCTCTAGTACCAACAGAAAATAAATAAGATTCATTGGGCATGCAAATGTCTGTTGTGTTACTGTGACCTTCTCATTTGAAATAACACAGTTATTTTTATTGAAATACTATTATTTGTTTCTGACTGTCCCATCCATTTTCCTGACTAAATCTCAGAACCTCAGCCCTCATGAAAAGTCCCTCTGCTTGGCCAGCTAAGGAAATCAGAAAACTTTACCTTCAGAAATCACACATGGATTTCCACAGTAGAAGAATAAATGATACATACCCCATACTCTGGATTAGTTACCTTGGAAGGAAGTTTTTAATCTTTGGTAAGGGGAAAATGAAGAAGTAAAAACTGACTCCAGGATGGTATCCATGAGCAAGACAGAGGCAAAGTAATACCACACAGATCCTGGTCCCATATATTCTGCTATAAACATCACGTTTTATCACCTACAAAAAACTGGCTACAAGATGCAAGCATCACACATAAAGGACAGCCAAGCTGTATCACAGAACTGGAGAGTTAGCAGGGGCTTTAGAACCATCTAGTTTATCCTCATTGTCAAGAAATCCATAAACTGCTCAAAGCCACACAAATAATCTGTGGCAGACTCACAGTTTAAATCCATACTTCCTGAGGCCCAATTCAGGGTTACATTCCTACATTGTACTCTGTGAATGGGAGCAACCTTAAGACTAAGAAAGCACAGAGGAGGGGAAGGGGGAACTCTTCTTTTATATCAACATCACAGAGTCACATGCCTATTCCCCAGTGGGAATTCATGCTACTCTCAATACGCAAAGGCCTGTGTGTAGAATCATACTCAAGGACAGGTTCAGAATGAAAGCAATACTGTGCTGTTGCTGGTTGTGTGAAGGTGATGAATTTACATAATGTGAATATTATGTAGAAATGCACTATGTATAAATGTATATATGTGTTTTAACTCTCTCTAGATATATGGGGAGAGAAAGAGAATGAACATGAATTTTGCAGATTCCCTCATTTGTATTTGAAAACAAAAAGAGGTGTACAGAAGTTTGGTGAGAACACAGGGACATGATATATATTTCACTGGTCCATAAATGAGATATGAATTTCACAACTTAGGGGGTAGGGGAGTGGGGGGGGATGGGTGAAAATGAGACAGGGCATAACACTGTTCAAAAAGAAATGTACTCATGGCCTTACTTATGTAACTATAACCTTCTGTACATCACCTTTATAATAATTTTTTTAAATGATGTAGATATATGAACACATTTTGACAAAAGAATCCTTTATTTGAATTAGGCTGTAAGAAGCTACTATCCCACCAGCAATTCTGTACGTAGCAATTTAATTTGTCTTTAAGTCTACACAGCTTCAGTATGCTTGTTTTGTTGTTGTTTAATTTTTGTAAAACAAAGACCTTGCCTCTTAATTCTACATGTTTAATTTTTTTCTCAATCATTTGTCTTCAGTAGTCAAAAATATTCACTAAAATGAGTGCAGTTTATTTTATCGGTGCCAGTACTGAGGCTTGAACTCAGGGAGTTGTTCCCTCATAAGGCTTTATCCACACATGGCTAGTGCTCTACCACTTAAGCCATACCTTCATTTCTAACTTCTTGCTGGTTCGTGGGAGGTAAGAGAGTCTGGTGGTGGATTTATCTGCCCAAGGTAGGTACAAAATGTGATCCTCAGATCTCAACCTCCTGAGAGGCTAGGATAGATTCTGTAACTACTAACATAGTTTGTAACTCAGGTTGTAGAAAAGATAAAGTCATGTATATAAAAAAAAATCAACAGAAACATTTTTTCTTATATTTAATGCAAACTTACACAATGTTCATAATTTACCTTTTGATTTACTGCAGCCAATTTGCTTATCACAGACTTGAAATAAGAATATGCTGGCTAAATTGTATAATGTAGTTGTCTTAAAATTTAGCAAACCTACTTTTAAAGCCCTTCCTGAATCCATGCAATCTAAGGTACTGGAGTTTTAGTGTGCATATAATTCTGGCTACATACAAAGTCCATAGTTTTATAACCTTAAACCCGGTTTATAATAGTGAACCTATACTTGAGAAAATCCTCAACTGTCCACTTGTTTAGACAGATTGCACAGAACCTGGAAAAGGTATACATAGAAACTTGTCTTGCTTCTCAAAACTAGGTAAGGGAACAGAAACTTAACAATAGGGAAAGAGAAAGCTTCCCCTCTAAGAAGCTTAACTACAGCTGGACAAATTGGCCTTTGAGGCCTGACATGAAGTGTGTCCCAGAGCTCCAGGGGAGTATTCCAAAGTATGGAGTTAACCAAATCAACATTTTAAAGACATGACTCACACATACTTTAGTTCTTACATAAATTCAAATCTAACTGAAAATGGCATATGTTTTTGTTTAACATTGAAATAGAAAAAAATGCTTAGGGAAAACACTCATATTTATTCATTAGTTAACTTTTCTAATGACTTCATATTATAGCCATCATAGTATATCAGTTATAACTCAGAGGCACACATTAATTTACCTTTCCTGGTGTTTTTAAAATGCATTTAACTTTTTCTATTACATTAGAAACATCCCCTGAATCTCTCAGTTTCTTCCTGATGTCTTCTTCCAGTTCTTCCCACTGAAAAGCACCTGTAATAAATTAGCACATGTCAGATACTTCTGTTAATAACAGAAAATATGAAAAATACATCTTGTACTGATCCTGGGTCTAAACACTGTCTGTAAGGTTTTCAAGCTCAAGACTCGCACTCTATCACTTAAGCCTAAGTTCAACTTCCAGCTTTTTAAAAAAATGTTTTTTGAGTAATTTATTGGAGATGAGTGTCTCATGGACTTTCCTGCCCGGGCTGACTTTGAACAGCAATCCTCAGATCTTGCTTCCTGAGTAGTTAGGATTATAGGCATGAACTACCTGGCCAATGTTCTTTTTTTTTAATGTAGCAATTTATTTTTTTTTGTCAAACATATATCCTTATAGTTAAGGGATAGATGTAATAGCTCTAGCATTTTATTTATAGAATTCTTTCTCAAAACCAGAAGACTCCTTCACTGCACACCTGCCACTTCTCTGTGATAGGCAACTAGCTAGTGGTAACAGCATTGCTAAAGTAAGAGTTTCTGTGACAAGTGGTCCAACACCCAAATTATTTATTATTATTTGGATGTGGTCTTTTCTAGTTGTATTAAATCATACTGGCTGTGGAGGACAATGCCTACTATCCTGTAGAGGAATACAAGCATAATGTATGCAGAAGGTCTCATGCATTGTTAGAGTCAAAAAGGACTTCCTGATAAGCAACTCTATAAAACCTACCTGAGGAAGGCAGATAGATAACTTCCTGAGCTACATGATATGCCACTGCAGCAAAATCACCTCTCTGGGACCATTGCTCCCCTTGTTTTCATGCCAGCCCATGTCAAACTACTCCATCTTAGGGTCACTTCCCATTTGTCCTCACTGTCAACCACTTCTAAGCTATTGATCATGAAATTCCTCTTCTATGACCAGTTAGTTTACCTTTGCCCCAAGTTCTCCTCACACATGGTCTATGGCTGCTGTCCTAATGAACTTCCCCACCTGAGTTTTCAAAAGCATGATTTTTTTCCAAGGGATTAGCCCCACCCATCTCATAGCTTATAGAAAGTCTAAATTCCACAACTAGTATTCAAAATATGTAGATGAGTGGGCATAGGTAGGCCTGAGTGCTAGGCCCAGGTTCTAGTTCTATCTCTATATTACTGGTATAAGTACAGGCAAGACACTTCACCTCTGCAGGTATTAGGAGATCTTTTCTATGTCCTCTCCCTGCTGCTTCTGATGAATAAAGACACCTAATTCATAGCTCAGGCAATTGTACCCAGCTTCTACCAAGAGAAACCAAACCCAACCTAATCTAGAGACTTCAGAACTCAAAGGCCCTCGATCTAGGTAGCTGAACCTGGCAGCACTTAGCATTCATGTACATTCTTCTGTTTTTAAGGTTTTTAGAATATATATTTTAAAAGAAAATAGTATTTTTACAACTGAAAAATGAATTAAATTGAATATTATAGGTGTTTAAAAAGTCTGATAAATAGAAAAATATGCATGATTGCATATAAATGTATGATTTGAGCTGTATTAATATTTTATGCATCCAAACCTGACACACTAAGTCAGTTTAACTTCATCCTCAGCTACAATTGCTACTATGCATCTTAATACACACACTATTTGCCTTTATAAAACATTTTTGTACACTTTTTATTGTAAAAATGCTGTAATAAAAGGGGTTACGGTACATGAGCAAGATAATGAGTACATTTCCTATTGAGAATTGTTGCCTCCTCCTTTGTTTTCCCCCTACCATCCCTTCCCTCCCATCACCACAACTACCCACCACCAACTACCCGCCCCCCCCACTCATTGTAAGTTTTCAACATAATATCTTGTAATGTCTCATTGTTACAATAAGTCAACCTGTATTCTCATTTAGGCATTTTGTTTTTTCCTTTCCCCTCCCCGAATTAGAGAAGTGTATATACAAGACGCAGGGCACCGACATCAAATACAGTGAAAATGGGTTATTTCATGGGGGAGGAACATATAAAGCAACAACAACAAAAATAAATCACATGGCGGCTGGGCGCTGGTGGCTCACGCCTGTAATCCTAGCTACTCAGGAGGCTGAGATCTGAGGATCGAGGATCAAAGCCAGCCTAGGCAGGAAAGACGGTGAGACTCCTATCTCCAATAAACCACTAGAAAACCGGAAGTGGCGCTATAGCTCAAGTGGTAGAGCGCTTGCCTTGAGCTGAAGAGTGCAGGGACAGTGCCCAAGCCCAGAGTTCAAGCCCCACAACCGACAAAAAAAAAAAAAAAAAATCACATGGTACATTATAAATAGAAAAAATAGCAAGAAAGAAAAAGATATTTGTGTCCCTATCTTAGGGTTCATTTCACTTAACATCATCTTATATGGTCATATATACATAGCTTTTGGCCTTTTCTGCTTGTCCTACACATGTATAGTTATTGCAAATAAGGGAAACCATAGGACCTATGTTTCTTTGGGCCTGGCTTACTTCACTTAATACAATTTTTTCCTCCAAGTCTTTCCATTTCCTAACAAATGGGGCAATGTCATTCTTTCTGATGGAGGCATAGAATTCCACTGTATGTATGTACATACGTACGTAATATGTATATATATATATACATATATATATATATCTGTGTGTGTGTATATATATATTTATATATATATATACATATACCACATTTTCTTGATCCATTTATCTACTTAGGGGCATCTGGGTTGGTTCCATATCTTAGCTATGGTAAATAATGCTGCAATGAACATGGCTGTGCTAGTAGCTTTAGTATGGGCTTGTTTGTGGTCATTTAGGTAAATGCCCAGAAGTGGGATTGCTGGGTCAGAGGGGAGCTCTATGTGGAGTCTTTTGAGTACTTTCATACTGCTTTCCAAAGTGGTTGAACAAGTTTGCACTCCCACCATCAATGTAGTAGGGTTCCCTTCTGGCTACATCCCCTCCAGCATCTGTTGTAATTAGAGTTCTTGATTATAGCCATTCTGACTGGGGTGAGGTGAAATCTCAATATTGCTTTGATTTGCATTTCTTTTACCATTTGCCTTTTCTATGGCATAACTATTCCTATCATGGCCAATTTCAAGCTAGCAACTCCAGAACATGAAACTATCAATGCTACAGACAATGCTAGTAGCAGTGGGTTCCAGAACACCACTAACTCTTCCTACCAATGATAGCTTTTATTCTGACATCAGTGCTCTTCTGCCTCATATCTAAATGAATGTGTACTCTAAAAAAATTATCTGCTTTCCCTTTATACCAATGACTTTTAACTTTGGGGGTCACAATCTGACACAGTATTTGAATTATCTCTCCAGAAAATCTCCCAGTAATTCCTAACCCTTGTTGTGTGTTGCATTTACCTGGAGTTAGAGCTTTTATAAAATACCATCCAAGGAGGTCTGATTCCAATTAAATTAGAATATCAAGATTTCTGAGCAAGGGTTCCTGATGCTAACATGCTTTAAAAGCCTTTTAGGGCGGGGTGACAGAGGCTCTTGCCTGTAATCCTAGCTACTCAGGAGGCTGAGATATGAGGATTTCAGTTCAACACTAGTCCAGGCAGGAAAGCCTATGTTCAATCAACTTATGTTCATTGTTATGTTCAATCAACTACCAAAAAGCTGAAAGTGGAGTTGTGGCTCAAGTAGTAGAGCACCAGTGCCCAACCCTTGAGTTCAAGCCCCAGGACAGAACAAAGAAAAGCTTCTTTGGGTCTGCAAGTACTGCTGTTGACAACTGTTCCTCCTTCAGAAATTAAAGACATTATCAAGGGTATAATGTGTATCTCTGATTGTCTACACTTACCCAAACTGAAGAAGAGCACAGATACTTTTTTTTTGTATATGCCTTTAACATTATAGCATTATGTTCAGCAAATACAGAAGTAAAACATCACAACTAAAGAACATCTGCACAGGATCTCCATTCCAAGGATTATGTGAAAGCAAGTAAGCATCAAATCAGCTAAATATATGGGGTTAGTAGCTGTAAACCCCAAGGGGCTCTGATCAGTCTGAGCTGTCTGAGAATAGGCTTACAAACAACCGGTAACTAAAAATAGAAGGAAGATTAATTCTAGGAGCACACTAATGAGTGGGCTGTTTTTTTCTTCACTAGACATACGAATTAAAATCACACATTTAGGTTCTAATAAAACAATAATATGAAGGCTGCGAGTTTTTGTAGTAAAACATTCAACATTAGATCTACCCTCTTAAAAAAATCTTAAGTGTACATGGTACAAGTACTGTTAACAGTAAGTAGTATGGCAAAATTTCTAGAACTTATTCATTTTGCATTAGTCACTGAGATGTATTTAGGATACCTTCACAAATCACCTAATGTCCTTCAGTCTCTTAGATGTAGTGAAATACTCCTGTATATGATGCTATATTTTTATGAAGTACAGAGAAAAAAAGGGGCTGCAGAACAGTTCTGGAAATGTGAGAAGCAAGAATACAAACTAATGAAGAGCACATGTCTCAGCTACCCTGTGCTAAAGGATGGCCCCTGTTTCTTTCTTGTGACAGGAAGAGCTTAAAGTACATTCCGGAGGGCTTACAAAGAGTTCAATTTCTAACCATGGGAGATCATGTGAGTAGGGCATTTGCAAGCTCAAGAGTATCAAGTATTGTAAGAATGTTACAACTGAAGCCATTTAAGGATTCTCCTGGAAGGCCAGAATTGCAGTCCTCACTGCTATCTGCCCTCTCCTTTAAGCTTTGGTCAGTAACACTTTCACAGTATACAAGGTTCCTTGTTATACTTTGGAAAGTCAACATATACAAAACAGGCATACCTGGGCTGACTCTAACTTTTAAAATATTAAGTAGGAAAGTAAACTAAGGCCTTATATACAGTGCAAAATGTTAACTAGACCATGAAACAGCCGCTCTTAAATATAAAATCATTTGTTCACAGCGACACAAATTTCAAATTCCTAAAGGTTAAAAAAAGTATGTTATTTTAAAAAGATTTAGGATGTTGTTTAAACTGGCTCATTTTCTAGGAGTCAAGAGGTAGGTTCACTGTCA